GTAGCTTGATAAAACAATTTAATATAGATCATACCCCTGCATTCTCACAAATCTATTCTATACCATTCAGGAGTTAAATTACTTTGTTTACTCACACAGCCTCCACAAGAAAAAAAAAATTCAAACTGATTTTATAAAATTTAGAAGTTTTATCTCCTGTTCTATTAATTGAACTTTAATAACACACAGGAGTCTGCTGCAGCCTCTAGCAGGCAAAACAGGAGATATAAACGTCTAGATGAAACAGACTGTGCAATAAGAGGAAAAATTAGACCTCTTTTTCAGGAATTGTGTAAGAATATTGTGTGAGCCACAGCCAGGGAAATTGTGGATAAGGTTCCATAAAAAAGTGATTGAACTCTTAAAAGGCATATAATTAAGCAGTAAGACTGTAGGAGCATGATCTATACATCAAAACCACTTCAGTAAGCTAAAGTTGTATTGGTGGTTAAAGTGTCCCTTTGAGGCTTGTGTTCCAGAATTTAAAACCAAAAATATACCATGCACAGTTCATATTATAAAACTCTGGACAGGGATACATAACCTTGCTATAAAGGATGCAAATAATGATTTTTCACTATTTAATTTATACAGAATTGGCCTTCCACAAGGTTTAAATAGCTCTACTGATGATCTATCACAAGTTAAAATACTTTCTGGTATCTCCCTAACCCTTCTAAGTAGACACCAGGTCCTTAACATCCTATTAGACCTTCCACACCTTCAATAACCCCAGACCCGGTTTTGAAACTCAGTCTGGTATCACTGAGCTGTTGACTTGCTTTGTTTTGTTTATGTTAATGTTCCAGTATTTTTACTGTCATTTCTGTTCAGCCACCCAATGCTTATGGCCAGCGCTTTCATTTAAGTAGCTTGAGCAGCATGCCGATCTTTCATTATATTCCAATTACCAGACCTGAACTGCATCACTTCATTCTAGTTTCTGACCTGAGAAAGCCCTAATTTTTATTTGATGCCAACATTACTATTAAGACAAATTACTATATGTTCTTTTGCCTCCTTATGACGCCTGCTTTAATTTTGATGCAGAGAAGACTCTCCCTTTAATAGGACAGATTTTCATAATGCTGGTTTACAGGTGTTGAAGGTATTCTGAGGGAAGAGTTATGTAGACAATTCTGTGATTTGAAAATACTGCCAGTGTTAAATATGGACACAAATAAAGATTGTAAAAGATATTTCTTATCTCTCATATCAGTCAGAGTGTCTGTATGAAGATAGTGGCTTCCTCAGACATTTTCACTTAAAGGGGTGATCCAGTCTGGGATCTCATGGACCAGGGTTGTTCAAGTTTTTTTCTGCAGTGGGCCAGTTCATCAGAAATGTTTGGGTGCGTGGGCTGCACTAATTTTTTACTGAGAGAAAATATGGCTTTTTGGTTGTGTAATGCATGTTATTACTTGGTTAATCTTGGTGCACTTCTGTCTTCCTTTCCCGTCTGACCCTTGCTTTTGTGCACAGGTTAGAGGGATTATGCTCACTACACAATTTGTGGCACTGCATTCCCGACGCTGCTTCATGTTTAACAGGCACGTGCAGGGCCGGTGCAAGTATTTTGGATACACAGACAAAGATGCATTTTGCACAAGCCCCCCCAACATTTCTAAAAAAATAAAATAAAAAAAAATGCATCTTCACCTTCATCTCCCTCTTGAATGTCTCACCCCTTTTGTGTTTCTTATCCTCTTTTTTAATTGTCTTACCCCCTTTAGTATATCTTATCCCCCATTTTTTCCCTTTGTACGTGACTTACAACCCCATTGTATGTCTCTTACTCCCCTCAGCCACTTTGTGTGTCTCTTTCTACCCCATCCCTTCTGTGTGCTTCTGTCTCCCAGCCCCTTTTGTGTATCTCTTTCTCACCTTCCTCACCCACTCTGTCTCTTTCTTCCCTCAGCCCCTCTGAATGTCTCTTTCTCCCCCAGTCCCTTGTGTGTGTTTCTCCACAACCTGCCCCTCTTCCCCTAAGCACCTTCTCTCTTTCTCAGCCCTCTGTGTCTCTTTTAAAATATAAACAGGATAATTGTAAAAGTGCTAATATACATTCAAAAGGAGAAAACAATGGGTAAAAACTATCTCCTCAAGAAAATAAAATCAGAGTGTTATAAAATTATACAACATACAACAGTGCAAATGCATGTAAAATACAAAGAGTAAAAATATATAATAGTATAGCCTGATTACAAGTACATCCAATGTATTAATACATAAATTAAAATAGCACCACTACTCACAAAAGCCTGGTATGTATCACCAAGTAGTAATCGAGGAGGATTAGTGATGGAGCCCAGGATCATGAAGTCCAAAGTCTCTGCTCACAACCATGTCATCAAAAGTAGGGAGTTTATTAAAACTTAATACTCTAGGCACAATTTTCTGCTTAATATATTTTTCTAGTGTGGCAATCTACCATTTAATTTTTAGTTCCTTAGTCAAATGATTTTTTAATTTCTACTTTTGATAGAAATTATGAAAATTGTATGGATGATTGGTACACGCTTATGAACGATCTTTCCACCCAAACCATGCCTTTCATCATTAAATGGAGACAATTAACTCCTAGAGAATTGGATACTCAAATTTCCCAGGTACGGCAAGAATGCAAAAGCAAAAATTTAGGGAACTTGTGCAATATTCCCATAAAATGAGTGATAAATTGAACAAAATAGAGGTCATAATAGCCCAACAAAAGAAATATAAAAGAGATGTATATGACTACACCACTAAGACAGCATCTGTCAAAAAACACAGTAATTTTAAAAGACCTGATAGAAATAGAAGCTTCAATGACTCCTTTAAACAAAGAGACAGATTAGCGGCTATCGTCCAAATAGAAACAGACAGGAGAGAAAATATTTGAATGTAAGGAGAAATGATGAAGGTAATACTTCTAATTGGCAGATCCAAAATTTTATAAAAACAGACCACACAAATTAAACCACACCACTCCAACAAAAAATTACACTATTCCTGTAACTGATTTACACTCTTGTCACACATCAATGAGGAAAACAACACTTTTTTTAGAGAAAGTAAGGAGGAATTGGGAATTTTCCCCTCCTCCTTCACAAATAAAAAGATTCAGACAAAGAGAGGAAGGAGAAACCGGGCAGGCAGAAGGATGCAAGGCAAAGGACAGAAAGACAATGACATTCAACCGGCAGGCATTTTTAATCTGTCCAATAGAATCCTTGATAATAACCACATTAGTCTACTAAATAAGGGCCTTAAATTCGCCCATTCCTAAGGCATCAACAAATTGAAATTTTTTTGTAGACCTTCAGAAATTCAACCGCCAATTGAGCCTTAAGAAATTTTTCTTTAAAAAAAAACAACCATCCACTTTCATATGGAGTAAGACTCCACCATTGTACATACCATGCTGAAAGAAAAATCCCAGTTCTTCCCAAAATGGCTTATATCTGAAGAAATGGCTGCTTTTTGGCAAATTGTTAATCATGAGATAAGTTTAATTAAACCTTTAAACAAATACCAACTTAACTTAAATATACAAGAAAAAGAGGCTCTAGATGATTTAAGGAAGGACACCAATTTAGTCATTAAGCTGGCAGACAAAGGGGGGGTATGGTCCTTATGAGCAGGGAATTTTACCTAGGCTTTTAGACGATATTGCCACATACCAGAAATTACCATCAGACCCACACTTATTAAAAAGGGCTTTTCTTTGGGCATACTAAATAAAAAAGAACATCAGTATCTAGAGGTAAAAAATGCAAGAATTCCTGTATGTTATTTCCTGGCCAAAATCCACAAAACTTTTTCTAATTGCCCTGTTAGGCCCATAATATCGGGAATTAATTCTATATCCAGTCGACTGTCAGAATATGTTGATCATATTCTGCAACCACTGGTACAAAGTCGCCCTTCATAGAAAAACAAGTTTTTTTATTAGTCACAGCAGATGTCTTATACAACGTAATAAAGCACGTATTAGGGGTTAGAGCTGTAACGTTCACTAGGGAACCCGAAACATGCAGACAGGACAGAGTAGAGAGAATTGCAAAAAATGGTTGGATTATGCAAAAAGGGATAGTCAAAACACGAGTCGAGATCAAGGGAAACAGAGAGACGGAATAACGAGAGACAAAGCCTGTAGCGGAGGCCTGATATTCCACAGGTTAACTCCACCATAGATCCCAGTGAGGCTCAGAAACAAGTAATAAAAACACCAGGAAGCAGTAATTCCAGCAAACAAGTAATCCACGAATATCCCCATACAGATCCCAATGACTGGACGACACACAGCATCAGGAGCAGAACTAACTTTTACTCCACACAGTCTCCTTATAAAGCATTCTCCCATGCAAGGGAGGGATTCACAGTAATTAGTACAGTATCCAATAGTGTAACTGTTACCTCCCACACATCTCCTCCCCTCAGTATGACACTTAATCCCATTATACATACTGTAGTTTTCCCCGAGTTCTGAATGTACCCCAAAACAAGCCGTAATACTGTGGGTACCCCCTGGTAGCCCTGATCTGGGTGACTAACATATCCAAAATTCACCCAGATCGGACCAGGGGTTCGGGAGTTAGGTGGAGGGTGTATTTTGACTGACCGCAGATGAGGTGCTATCCGAAAAGGGTTCCATGGGTTTTGGCCCTGCGGTCGGTCTTCGTTCGGGAGGTAAAACACACATAAAATACTGCCATCCACGATTAATCTTGTATTCGTATGAACCCCCTTGTTCGGTACTTTGAATCTACCGAACGGGAGGCTGATTAGCCTTCTCATTCGGGAGTTACGGAGCCATGGAGGTCTCAGCGGTGTTCGGTAATCGAGTGTCCGATTTGAGTTCCAGACACTCGACGACCAAACACCGCTGATATTTTCGTGCGTATGATGGCCGCCGCCACGTGTTCGTATGTCAAACGGCGGCCACCCAGATACATCACTAAAGTACCGATTAACCTGCGGTTAGAGAAGTGTGAACGCTTAATAAGGTACACACTTCTCTCTGGGGTGGTCTATTGGTTCGGTAGTTTACATTCGTATGGAGTACGGATGGAAACTACCGAACAATCATACGAATCCTACATGCATTTTAACCATAGAAACGGAAACAACACACAAATTGCAATATTATTCCAGTCTTTTAGGACAGCCCTTGTGCCATCTGCTACAAAGCCAAATATCAGTAACCAGGAAATCCAAATAACAAGTGCAACGCTCAATGGTAAACCAAAGACCACAACAGGGCACTGAGGCAAGGGAGGGGTTAGGTTATATACGCACAGGTGTGTCTGATTGGCTAACCTCCAATTCGTGTTAACCACAACACGTGGGAGGAGTTTCTTCCCTCCCTTGTGGTCTCTAAGGTCATCACTGTATGTCGGGTCACATGACCGGGTGCAGTACACATATAAGGAAGCTGCTCTGGAGCGTGCAGCGTCAGACACACTGCCAGTCTGGAGAATAGGACCAGATGACGCTGCTCGCTGTGATGAGCGGCTTGGGGGCAGGGGACCTGGCAAGAGCTATTCAATATTTTTTGAGGATACAAATCATGCAGAACTTCAAAACCAGTTTGTTTTGGAAGCTATTGTACTTCTTAATAATAACAATAACTATTTCTGGTTCTTTGATAATTTTTACTTGCAAAAGTGTGGCAATATGATGGGCACCAGGTTTTCCCCCAGCTATGCCAACTTGTTCATGGCACACTGGGAATCAAGTTGCCTTATCAAGGGTGGGTGCTGGGGAGCCAACCTGATGCTTTACAAAAGATATATCGATGACCTGCTATTTATTTGGAAGTACTTCTCCAACAATTTATTAATCAGGTAAATGCCAATGATTGGGGCATTACCCTGTCCTTTCAATATAGCAAAACACAGATTGTTTTTAGACCTCTCTATTTATATAGAAGATGATCTAATTAAAACCAAGACCTTTCTGTAAGGCCATAGATGTAAACAGTTACATCGAAAAGACCAGCTGCCACTATAGCCCCTGGCTCGATAATGTGCCTAAGAGTCAATTCATCAGGTGCAAAAGGTGGAGCAAACGTATTTATGAACCAGGGGCAAAAATTTTGGGTAATCATAATGGGAAAGTTAGAGGTCTGATCAATAAACATTGGCATCTACTACTAAATGATTCTCAAGGAAATTCTACCGGCAAAACCAAAAATCACACAACTCACAAAAAAAAACAAGAATCTTAGCAACAATTTTTAAATACAAAATACAGTTTTTTTTGGATGTGGCAAATGTAGAGCGTGTCAACTGACTAAATCGAAAAGATGCCATATTCCACAATTTGAAGTGAGAGGAAAAGAATAGAACATTAAGGCGTGCATCACTTGTCACTCCAGTGGTGTTGTCTACATGCTCACTTGCCCCTGTGGCTTAAATTATATCGGATGAACCACTAGACCTTTACGCACGAGGGTAAGTGAGCATGTCTATAATATTAAACATAAATTTGAGAAACATCAGGTGTCAAAACATTTTAGGGACCACCATAATGCTGATCCGTCCTGTTTACAAGTTAAAGGAATTCAGAAGGTGAATAATGAATGGAGAGGTGGCGATTTTATTAAACGGTTGGGACAAGTCGAGATGAAACTTATTTTTTTAATTTAATACCCTTATCCCACATGGACTTAACAAAGACTTCGAGCTTTGTCATTTTTTAAGTTGTTATTTTTTAAATTGTTATCATCAATTTTTTTTTAAATTAAATATTTTTTAATATACATATCATTTTATTGTCAGTAGTTGTAATATAGATTTCTATCTATATGGACATTCTATGCGCTTACAATATGTTCTGTCTCCTTGCTTGCTCCAATCCAATTTGATGGATTTTATTTAACTACTTTATTTCAATGAAATTATTTTACTATAATTAAATGCTTTCTTCTTTCTTTTTTAGGGTATTTAGAATATTTTAAAATTTTAGATGTTTTTCTAGTGTATAGTATTTACAAATGTGATGCCCCATATCTATAGTATGAGGGGACATTAACTAAACAGGAATTTTAATATATAATTATTATTTGGTTTGCAATGCATTTATTATGGTACTTTTTATTCATATAGCAGTTTGTGTAGTTTTATAGTACTTATTTATATGTCCAGACATGAATCTAAATGATTATTTGTTCTGTTCATTGAAAGTATTGCTCCACAATTTGTAAATGCTGGACTTGGACTGTTAGCCAATGGGTACTTTCGGGGGAGACTTGATGCTGCCCTTAAATTTGCCCATGCGACTGATGGCCGATACTCACCTAATGTCCTGACAGAGCCAGAAGGCAAAATGCGTAGCCATACGGCACATTGACGTCACACAGTGGGCGGAGCTTGAATCCCAAGGCGAACACAGTTTGGATACTGACAGCGGCCGACCAAGTTGGAGATAAGAGTGTTACATGGTTGTGAGCAGAGACTTTGGACTTCGTGATCCTGGGCTCCATCACTAATCCTCTTCCACTTGGTGATACATACCAGGCTTTTGTGAGTAGTTAATTATATGTGTCTCTTTGTTGTCCCTCCAGCATGTCTGCCTTTTATGGCTCATTACCAAGTCCCACTGTGTCTATTTGTCCCCTTAATACCTCTGTGTATATCTTCCTCCCCCAGTCCATTTTGTGTGTCTGTTTCTATCCCCTTCCCAACCCCTCTATGTCTCTCTCTCCTCCCAGCCTTTCTGTGTCTCCAGTCCAGCCCCTTTGGGTATCTCACCCCAGCTCCCATCTGTTTTGCCCCTTCCCTAGCCCCCATTTGTCTCTTTTTTCTCTTCCCCAGCCCCTTTTGTGTCTTTTAGTCCCCCTTTCCAGCCCCTCTACTCCCCAGCACTGAGTCTCTTTCTCTGCTAGCCCCAGCGTGCCTCCGTCTCCCCCCACCCTATGTATGTCTCTTTTGCCCCTTCCCCCACCGCTTTGTGTCTCTTTGTTCCCTTATCCCCTCTGTGTATCTCTTTCCTCCCTTCCCAACCCCTCTGTGTCTCTTCCCCCAGCATCTAGTCTTGTTCTTCCCCAAGCCATTTTGTTTCTCTTGGTGTCCTCCTCCCCCACCCCCGCCACAGTCCCTGTCTGTCTTTTTTTTCACCTCCCCTAGACCCTCTATATGTCTCTTTCTACACTAGTATCTTTTGTGTCTTTTTGGCCAGTTCTCAACCCGTGTCTCTTCCCCCCAGCACCTTGTCTCCTTCTCCCCCAGCCTCTTTTTCCCTTTCCCCAGCCCATGTCTGTCTCTTTGCCCCACCAACCCCTCTGTGTTTCTTTGTTCCCTTCCCAACCACGTTGTCTCATTTCCCCAGCACCTAGTTTCTTTCTCTTCCCAGCCACTTTTGTGGGGGTTTTTTTGGTCCCCTTCCCAACCTCTTCTGTGTGTCTCTTCTCCACAGCACCGTGTCTATTTCTCCACCGGCCCCTCTGTATATCTTTGTCTCCCTACCAGCCCCGTCCCCACTGTGTCTCCCCATCCACTCTATAAGTCTCTTTCTATCCCCAGCCCCTTTGTTCCCTTCCCAACAACTCTGTGTGTCTTTTTCCCTTAGCACCATGTCTCCATACAGCCTCTCTGTGTCTCTCTGTGCCCCCCTCTGGGTGTCTCACCCCAGCCCGTCTGTCTCATTTGCCCCTTCCTTAGCGCCCATCTGACTTCCCCAGCCCCTCTGTGTGTCTTTGTCTCCCCTCTCAAACCATCTGTTTCTTTTGCCCCAGCACCTCTGTGTCACCCCCCACCGATCCAGAATGTATTTTTTGCTGACCAAGAATATTACTGAACTGGAAGCAATTGCTGGTGTCTGGCTGTGCATCTCTTGTAGCAGGTTATAACAGCAAAAGAGAGCTCTACTGAGTACTAAAGATTTTGAGCCTGGAGAAATCATTATAAGTTGTATTTTCTGTTGAATTTGGGGAAACCACTTGAAGCATTAATTGACTTGAGATATTTAAATTGCTTTTGTTTCATTTTTTTCTATTCTAAACAGCTGAAAGTCTTTACATTTAGACAATAAACCTGACTTTTAATCAGGGGGCGGGGGGGGGGTGAGAAGAAATTTTAACACACCTGCTATAAAATGAAGGTATTTTTTATGTTTCTGCTATTTGTGAAGATTTCCAAGCATTATAACTTTAACGTTTGCTCTTTGCACAGTCCTGTAAATAGCTTTGACAATCAATAGCCATGTCTATGGATAGTAAACTGTTCGAATGCAGATGAAGAACTAGTTGTTTAGGTCTTTTTACAGAGTAGTATGCTTAAAGTCAGTAACCTACACCCAGATAAATATTTGGTTTTTTTTTATATAGGAATTAAACTACTGGTTTGTCTGTGAATTGTGTGCCACCAATATGCAAGGAAGTGCTTGACATTACATAATGTAGCATCCTTAAACCACTATAGTAACTGTGGTCAAAATAAAGGCAAGATTATATAGGGGAAAAGTAGTATGCACTTGTCACTAGTTATGTTAGGACAATATGAGTTTGAGTACTTTGCTTCTAAATCGTAACTGGCTTAAAGGGTGTGAGCAGGGCCGCCATCAGGGCATGACAACCGCAACGGGCCGGGCCCCACATTCAGTGGGTACATACCGGGTCGCAGGAGGCCCTGCGACCCGGTATGTACCCACAGGGCCAGCCTCTTCTCCTGGGGGCCCCCCCCCAGATGCTGGCCCTGCTGACACCCGGCGGGTGGGCCGACGCGCGAGGGAGCACTCTGTGTGTGCTTCCTCTTCAGCTCCCTCACGCGCCGCGTACTGATGCCGGAGCTGGAAGATGACGTCATCTTCCGGCTCCGGCATCAGTACGTGGCGCGCGAGGGAGCTGAAGAGGAAGCACACAGAGAGTGCTCCCTCGCGCGCCGGTGTTCTATCAGTCTGGTATACCCAGTCAGATTGCTATACCCACGTCACTTCCGGGGAGGGGAATCAGCTGGATCCTGTGCTGCACATGCGTGCTAGCACTCCTGCTACTCCTCCACAGCAAGGTCCTGGAAGGTAAGTAAAACTAGTTTTACACTTTCATTATAGTTAGTGCATTCACTAAGCTTAGGCACACGGGACATTTAGGGTTAAGTGAGGGTACAAATTAGGGTTAGGTAAGTGCTTCTAACCTCTCTCACACTCTATTCTTACCCTAACCCTTGGGGTAAGGGTTAAAATAAAGTGTGAGAAATCACTATTTAGTGATATTCCCCTAATGTGAAATATCACTAAATATGAACAAGTCCCTAATCCTAACCCTAATTTGAACCCTAACATTAACCCTAAATGTCCCATGTCCTAAGCTTAGTGAATGCACTAACTATAATGAAAGTGTAAAACTAGTTTTACTTACCTTCCAGGACCTTGCTGTGGAGGAGTAGCAGGAGTGCTAGCACACATGTGCAGCACAGGATCCAGCTGATTCCCCTCCCCAGAAGTGACGTGGGTATAGCAATCTGACTGGGTATACCAGACTGATAGAACACCGGCCCGCCCGCCGCCAGTGTCAGGGGGGGTAGGAGGAATGAAATTCGAGGGAGGGGGGGTTAGGAATGAAATGGGAGGGGGGAAGGAGAAGGAATGAAATGGGATGGGAATGAAATGGGGAAGGAATGAATGGGGAAGGAATGAAATGGGGGAAGGGGAAGGAAATGGGAGGGGGAAGGGAAGGAAATGAAATGGGAGGGGGGGAAGGGGAAGGAATGAAATGGAGGGGGGAAGGGAAGGGGAAGGAATGAAATGGGAGGGAGGGAAGGAATGAAATGGGAGGGGGGGAAGGGAAATGGGAGGGGGTAAGGGAAAATGAAATGGAGGGGGAAGGAAAAGGAATGAAATGGGAAGGAAGGAGAAGGAATGAAATTTGAGGGAGGGGGAGGAAGGAATGAAATGGGAGGGGGGAGAATGAATTTGAGGGGGGAGAGGAATTTGGAAATTTGAGGAGGGGGAGAGAGGAAGGAAATTTGAGGGACAGGGGGAGAGGAAGGAAATTTGAGGGACGGGGGGAGAGGAAGGAAATTTGAGGGACGGGGGGAGAGGAAGGAAATTTGAGGGACGGGGGAAGAGGAAGGAAATGAGAGGGAGGAGGAGAAGAAGGAAATTGGAGGGGGGAAGAAGGAAATTGGAGAGGGAGAAGAAGGAAATTGGAGGGAGAGGGGGGAGAAGGAAATTGACGGGGGGGGAGGGGGAGAGATTGACATCCATCACACACAATGCATTACACACAGATACACGTACACAAGCAATGCATCCCTTACACACAGCAACACACAATGCACCCCTTACACACACTCAATGCATCCCTTACAGACGCACACACTGCATCCCATACATACACAAATTCATCTTGCAGCCCTTACACAGATTCACACAATGCATTCCTTACACACATCAGGACATCCCACACACACACACTCCACTCCCTGTGAACAAACTCATTGGTGGAACATGAAGGTGGACCCTGGGACCCAGACCTTGAGCTGTGTAAAGGGCCCTCAAAAAATGGAGCTGCTTCCCGTTCTCCCAGAACATTGATTTTTGTGACCACAGTTACAAACCGCCTCCAGAGAGCCTGTTCTACACCAGACCAGTGGAGCCAGACTGCAGCTAGAGCCCATCATCATACTCATCTGGTTGTAAGTAGGCAATCTAGTATATTATTCGTGGCACTAATCTCTAATTTACCTCACATTAAAGAAACACTATAGTCCCCAGAACCACTGCAGCTTAATGTAGTGGTTCTGGTGTCTAGCCTGTCCCTGCAGGCCTTTTAATGTAAACACGGCGGCACTGCAGCACTGGTGTTAGTTAACATGGCAGATCACATGGGTGGGGCATTGTGATGTCACATGGGGGGCGGCAAACTTTACTTTTGCCTAGGGCGGCAAAAATCCTTGCACCGGCCCTGTAGACACTGCATCCCTGTGGGCGGATTCGGGGGGGGCAGCACTTTGGGCGGCCTCGGGTGCAGGCACCGGGGGGCCCAGACCTTGAGCTGTGGCAGGGGCCCCAACATTTCTGATGGCAGCCCTGGGTGTGAGTGCATGGTTAATCTTTTGGCAATGGTATCTTACAGGAAAGTTGATTAAGAATTGCCATAAAGTTAGCTCTCTAATCAACATACAACTAGAGCTCAGTGTGATCAATGTCATTCTGATTGGCCAAAATTGAAACAGGAAAGCGTTATTTCTGCATTATCAATGTGCCTAAGATGGGAGCAAACCGTCAATTCACAGATGTGTATAAATATATTTTATAAAACACGCATGGTACCAACGCAACATAACCAAGCAGTTTAACAGATATTTTGAACTTTAAAAGGAACACTGTAATGTTAGGTATACAAACATGCATTCATTACACTACCTATAAGGGTCCCTGGCGTCCCTCAGAGTGAACAAATAAAATGAGTTTCATAAACCCCCCCCCACACCCAAAAAAACAAAAAACGTTTCTTGCGCAAAACCCAAAACTCCTATGCAAATCTAAATAACTGGAGTTTTTCTTTAGTATCACTCCAACAGCCATTCAAGTGTAAGTTCACCTTACACATCAAATCAAAACATCTTAGATGAGTCCTACACGCACAATTCACTTTGTTGCCTTCAGCTAAAAATCTCTAATGAGACAGAGTGTGTGTTTTTTTTTTTCTAAACCCTTATATACTTATTAAAGGAACACAAACGTGTATTTCTGACACTATAGTGCTAAAGACATTATCTAGCCCCCCTTAATCCCTTCAGGACACTGGACGGAAATTTACCGTCATTGCAGTACTCCCCTTAATGACGCAGGATGGAAAATAAACCCCAGATTGCCACAAACGTGGGGTTAATGTTCCTGTAGTGTGTCTCCGTGTTAGAGGCACACTACAGCAAGCAGTTTCACTGATTCAGCCCATGTGATCGCTTTGACCGGGAGTCAGAGCGATCACACGTGCTGCAATGAAACCCGATCTGTCTCTCTGCAGCTCTGTGTGAAGTGCAGAGAGACGAATGGATCGGTGCTGGTCTGTCTCTCGTTGTAATAAAAAAAATGAAAAAAAACAAAAAAAAAACAAAACTGTTAGTTATAAAATCCCTCCCTCTCTCACCCCTTTCAAATAAAATGTAACCCCTTCCCTGCCCTTTGATCACTGTTTGCAGTAATCAAAATACAGATAACAGTATTTCACGGTGGGTAGAAGTTAACTGAAAATTGGGAGATTTACAGTTAGGCTAGTTAGGGTTAACAGTGTAAAAAAAAAAAAAAAATTTAAAAAGTAAAAAAGTAGTTAAAAGCAAAAAAAAAAAAAAAAAAATTAATTTAAAAAAACAAAACAACTTTTAAAAAGAAAAAAAAAAAAAAAAGATTAAAATAAGGGAAAAATGTGTATTACCTCTACACTTGGTACAGGCTAGCGAAAAAATGGTACCATGCTAGGGTTTAAAATATACACCCTGGGTTGTCTTCTTTATGAAATGGTATGCCTTTGTGAAGTAATTGGAAAACACAACCTACTAAAAAAAAATTCAAAAGTGGGGCATGGACCTAGCAACAAAAATTCTAATTTATATGGATGTGTCTCAAATGTGCCCCTTCAAAGCTGTCATATACTTAGTAAAGGTACACACGGGCGTATTGCTGTACTCTAATGACCTAGCTGAGCAACATATGATGTATTATACAGCTGTAGCACAAATAAGGTTTGCAAAATATATTACAAACTCATTGTGTGTGTCAAAAAGACAGTAACATGCTTATTACCACTACACTTGGTACAAGCTAGCGGAAAAATGATTTCACACTAAGGTTCAAAATATGTCTTTTGAAATAACCCTGGGATGTCTTCTTTAAGAAATGATATGTCTCTATGGGGTAGTTGGAATAATCAACCTACTAAAAAAAAAAACAAAAAAAAAAAAACAAAGTATGGACCCAGCATAAAAATTCTAAGTTTGAAAAAAATCTTAAATGTCTGTGTCTCAAATGTCCCCCTTCAACGGCCACATATACCTGTCAAAGGTACATATGTGGGTATTGCTGTGCTCAGATGACATAGCTGAGCAACATATAAAAGTATTATAGACCCGTAGCACACATAAGCTTTGCAAAATATATAGTACAATCTCACTGTGTGTGTCAAAAAGGCAGAACAAATGCTTATTACCACTACACTTGGTACAAGCTATCGGAAAAATTATTTCAGGCTAAGGTTCAAAATATGTCTTTTGAATTACCCTGGGATGCCTTCTTTAAGAAATAGTATGCCTTTTTGGGGTAGTTGGAATATGTAGCCTGCTAAAAACTCCAAAGTGGGGTAACAGCGTAAAAATTCTAAGTGTGAAAAAAAAACTTAAATAGCTGTGTCTGAAATGTGCTTCTTCAACATCAACATAAAACTGGCAAAGGTACATACGGGTGTATTGCTGTACACAGACAAAGCCGAGCAACATATAAAGTATAAAGCCGTAGCACACATAAGGTTTACAAAATATACAGTACAAACTCACTGTGTTAAAAAGGCTGAAAAAAAAAAAAAAGCTTATTACCACTACACTTAGTACAAAGTAGCAGAAAAATGATTGCACGCTAAGGTTCAAAATTTGCCTTTTGAAATACCCACCGGGGGGGGGAGGGGGGGGGGGGGCGCTTCTTTAAGAAATAGTATGCTTTTTGGGGTAGTTGGAAAAAGCAGCCTGCCAACATATTTCAAAATAGAATACAGACACATTAAAACCTACACTTAAAGGACCACTCTAGGCACCCAGACCACTTCAGCTTAATGAAGTGGTCTGGGTGCCAGGTCCTTCTAGGGTTAACCCATTTTTTCATAATTATAGCAGTTTCAGAGAAACTGCTATAATTATGAATGGGTTAAGCCTTCCCCCTAATCCTCTAGTGGCTGTCTCATTGACAACCACTAGAGGCGCTTGCGTGCTTCTCACTGTGAAAATCACAGTGAGAGCACGCCAGCGTCCATAGGAAAGCATTGTAAATGCTTTCCTATGAGACCGGCTGAATGCGCGCGCAGCTCTTGCCGCGCGTGCGCATTCAGCCGGCGGGGCGTAACGGAGGCGGAGAGGAGGAGGAGAGCTCTCCGCCCAGCGCTGGAAAAAGGTAAGTTTTTACCCCTTTCCCCTTCCAGAGCCGGGCGGGAGGGGGTCCCTGAGGGTGGGGGCACCCTCAGGGCACTATAGTGCCAGGAAAACGAGTATGTTTTCCTGGCACTATAGTGGTCCTTTAAAAACCTGAACTTGTCACGTCTCTTTTACAGCACTGTAACTTCACAAAATAGTGTCTAGGTCATGCATTGGGCTTATTGTTTTATTCAGAAGAGGTAACTGAGCATACTTATGGGGAATTTATGACAGTGGCACTTTTCAAATGTACAAAATACCAATGATTTCCCATATTGCAATGGGAGGCTACAATGCATGCGCAACAAAACTTAGTGTTTCGGTCAGCATCTCCTCAGAGGTTCATACAAATCAGTATATCTCTATGAAAAGCATTCATTATCTCCATGCAGAGTGTAGAGACGGTGAAGGTAGATGCTGCACCTCTAGTGACCATTTCAGTAGCCAGCAACGTAAACAGTGTTTTTTTTCTCTGAAGACCACTTTTACAGTGCACAGCCTGCAGGAACATGTCATAGACACCAGAACCACTACATTAAAGGAACACAACTGTATTTATGACCCTATAATATTAAAATCACTATCTAGCTCCCCTGGCCCAACTTACCCCCTAAATACAGTAAACTCTTACCTTCATTCCAATCTGCCTAAAAAGTGATTATATCAGCCAGTCAAAATGCTTTTTGACATAGGAAAGCATTGGATTGGCTCAGATCACCAATTCTTATGATCTCAGGCAAGGAGGTGGGTCAGGGACAGTGCCAAAGAGTCACCCTGGCAAATTAGCATCTGCAGGACTGACCCAGGAAGCATTTCCAGTGGCCATCTGAGGAGTGGCCACTAGAGGTGTCCCTAGGCTTTAATGTAAAAAGTTTTCTTTTTCTCAGAAAAGACAGGACAGTATTTACAACAAATATCCTGCTGAGTCTGAATATACTCACCAGAACAACTACATTAAGCTGTAGTTCTTCTGGTGACTAAAGTGTCCCTATAAAAGATGTGATATAACAAATGTGAAGTACATAAAAATGCAAAGAATAGTGTAGGCCTGCAGCAGGGATAAGAACAAGAGCCACTTTAAATGTGTTCTAGTGTACGAAAGGGTATGATGACACCAGTGATTTAAGGTAGACAGAGGTTTGGTTAGAGATGCCATTTTCACCTATTCTTTAAATGGCCATTGGGTTCTAAGCTCCATACCCATCTAACTGGTGCACACTATTCTGTACTATTTATTTTTCAGATTTCAATGAAATTTTCACATGTATTCTTGATGGAATGGGTGCAGAAGCAGTTAACCCAATGGCACAATGTTTATTACATGACAACTGGAAATCAGCCATGCTGTGTTTATTCAATGGCCACTAAACCCCAATAAGGCTGCAGCCTATTGTACAACAAAAAATAAAATAAATTAATAATAATAAATTTAAAAAAGTTCTGTACAAATCTCAGTCCTTTCAAAAGACTGTCAAGAGCCATTAGCAAGTCTGTTTTGAACTGCAAAGTGAAAATTATTCAGAATCATAAACATTCCCTTTTTATGGGAGGTTCCCTTCCCCCCCCCCCCCCCCCCCCCCAAAAAAAAGTTTTTACGAGAATGAGACAAAACACTTGTTAATTGCTTTTTATTAGAAGTAAAAAGGAAAAGTATACTAGATTAAAACACTCCCTGCTAAGGTTAAAACAATTTAAAATGTATGTACTAATCAGAATATATTGCTGTATCAGTCAAGTGTAGTTAAACCTCATGCGCGGGGCGATGCTGGGCCAGTGGAAGACTTAACTGCATTGTTTCCATGTCACTTCAGTGTGCCCTGTCCAAGGGACATAATAAACCACAAAGGAGCATTTGACAGTCTACAAATGGGAAGAAAGGAAAATATATAAAGTTATTTGAACTGTACTGTAAATAGAGGGCAACACATCACTATCATTACTAGAGCACAACAAAACTTTGTACTTGCACAGAGGGGCAGTGCAGAACAAGAGCCACCATTAGTAAGTAAGCTTTAGAATTCAGCCAGGATAGGAGCAGTCATATTGGAGAGTAACAAGGTGAAAGAGCCTTGTTGTATCTCAACAACTGTGTGTTGACACATTGAATTGGTGTCCGTTAAGGGAGCAGACAGGATGAATGTGTGTATAATAAAAAAAAATAATCTGATAATTAAGGAACACGATAGGCACCCAGACTACATCAGCTCACTCAAGTGGTCTAGGTGCAGTGTCCCAGGTCCCTTAGCCTTGCAATGGTAATTATTGCAGTTTTTGATAAACTGCAAAGTTTGCCTTGAAAGCTTAACTCCACCTCTAGTGGCACTAGAGGTACCTCTGCAAGGTTATGCGATTTTCGCCCGCTGGACGTCCTCACCCTATGCATGAGGACACCCAGCGTCACCCGAAACCCCATTGGAAGGCATTAGGTCATAGTGGAGCGGAGGCGGAGCCTGAACCAGCACTGAGGGACATTGGCACAAGAATCAAGTAAATGACAGAAAGGGGTTTTTATAGTTTCCCTTTAAGCATTGTAAAATAGGAATCCAATAGAGAGTTTGCATTACGAAAACGGACAAAAGTGTAGCATGTTGAGGAGAATATAGCCAGAAGGGTTTCAAGTTAACTGTAGTAGAATAGAAATACTGAGGAATGCTTAAGAGGATAAAACAAAAGTTCCTTTTATCAGTAAACTAGAATGACAGTTAAAGGGACACTATAGTGTTAGGAAAACCTGACACTATAGTACCCTCAGGGTCCCCCTCCCGCGGCACTGAAGGGGTTAATACCACTTTAGCTACTCACCCTTTTCCCCCGCCGGGCTCCCTTACCTCTACTCCTCCGCCGTCACTGGCGCCGAATGCGCAGCACTGCTGCGCGCGCATTCAAAGTGCCCGTAGGAAAGGATTTTTCAATGCTTTCCTATGGATGCTCGGCGTGATTGAGGCATAATATGCCTCAATCATTGCCGATGCGCCTCTAGTGGCTGTCCGGAAGACAGCTACTAGAGGCTGGCTTAACCCCAGACGTAAATATAGCAGTTTCTCTGAAACTGCTATGTTTACATCAGGCAGGGTTAATCCTAGAGGGACCTGACACCCAGACCACTTCATTGAGCTGAAGTGGTCTGGGTGACTATAGTGTCCCTTTAAACTTATTCAGATGAAGTTTCCTAAACAGCAACCTCAAATACTTTGTAAGGAACACAATCCTGTCTTATAAAAAAAATTAAAAAATCTCTAGTAACCAGACTTTAACATAACAGATGCTTGGCCAGCTCCCCATGGCTCGTGCTTGAAAGCAGGAGTTTAATAAAGAATATATCCCCTGGCCTTCTGTATCATTCCATGGTGACCAGAATCTAAGAAGGATACAATATTTAAGGTTAAGGCATCCATGTATATTTTCTGTGACTGTGCTCCATTTGCATTACAAGACAGATTTAGGTGCATCAAGAGATTACAGCACATACATCCCCCACCCCCAATTACAGTAAGCATTAGTTTGGGCTATAAAAGTCCAATTGTGTCCCGTAATAATGGATTTTTTTCCCCGCACTATTCAAATGCCAAGTACCGTCAAACAGTAATCCTGCAAAGGGAGAGAACATTTAATTGGACTAAGCCGTTTGTTCATTGTGGAATCTGAAGAGATAATATTTAGCCACTTCTAACTTTAAATCTCTAATATTAAAGGTTCTTGATATATTTCAGGATTTTATCAGTTTTAGCTGCATGTTTTCCCAAAGACAGTCATGAAATTGGGTGGGGGTGGGGTAGTAGAGTACCTTGGCCAAGTCAGGTTCCGCATGAAATTCACACTGTTCAACATCAGCTTTTGGCTTTCTGCACAGAGTACGGGAAAAGTCAACGTCAAATATGATGTTAATTCCAGATACAACCTATTAAAAAGAAAGAGCAAGACAAAAAAAAAAAAAAAAAAAAAAAAAAAAAAAAAAAAAAAAAAAAAAAAAAAAAAAAGGTTACCGAGCAGCCAATGTGAAATATAGAACAGTAACATAACAGTAGAGAGTTAGTTCTCACTAGTGAGAATGTATCACTCATGCACAAGTTGAACAAAATATGCAGAGAAAAAACGCCAAAAATAAAGTTGTTTTTCAAGCAATGTCAGAGTTAGATCTGACCTTATCAACTAGACAGGAATTTAAAGTATAAAATATTTCTCTTCCTTTTCCCCCTGTTGGATAGTGAATGTTTTCTTTTGGCTCACCTTACGTGTTGCAGGTCTCCTTGGCACAGGGAAGTTTAGACTTCCCATGTGAAAGGTCCAGTACATGGTCCTCATTCAAGCGTGACAACACAGAAGAGCCCCCTTACGTGCCCAGGCCCCGTTTGCTGCAGACACTTGGGATTGCACCATGGATGGCATAGCAAGATCTTGTTTCATCCTCTCCTTCAGTCTTGGATCAACAACATTTATATTCCTAAGGAGACTGGACATTCCAAGACCCTTTATCCATGCATTGGTTGCAGGGCACCATCTGCAAGTGGCACACGTGCAGTTGGGCCAAAAGATGCCAGCGTAATGTCACAGGTTTAGTCCCACATTTAAAATAAATAATATGCATCATCTTCCTTCTTCCTCAGTGTGCAGCTAATTTTTATTCTGTTTGGTATTTTTGTTTCTGACCTTCTGCAGGTAAATATGCTTAGTTCTTTACTTGGATTTTAAATATTTTGGACAGGGATACTGTTCTTATTCTTTTCTTTCAGCCTGCTCAGGATGGATTTGGCAGCAAGATTAAACAGTAAGGTAAGCCACTTTGTTTTTTGCATTAAAATAAAATACAATTAAAAAAGGGTGTATTTTGGTCCTAAAATGCTGTTTTTTAAAAAATCTGCACGATTGTGGTTTGTCACTCAGAGGTAGCAGAAAATTAAAATAAATAAAAATTAACAATATATGCAAAGCATGCAATCCAAAAAGGTCTGGAAGGAAGAAAATTATACCTCCCTTGTAGCCAAGCGGCACCTTCCCCTAATGCAGGGCTTGACAAATTTTTTTCAACAGTTGACAGTCATTTTCAACAACAGCTTGATGTTGTTCTGGTGTCTATAGCTTGTCCCTGCAGGCTTTTCAGTGTAAACACTACCTTTTCTGCGAAAAGACAGTGTTTACATTGCTGCTTAGTAACACCTCTAGTGACACTCAGACGGCCACTAGAGAGTCCTGGGTCACTGCTGCACCATTGTCAGCACCCAGGTTTAGCGTTTCCAAGCTCTACATGGAGGCGCTGAATGTTCCTTATAGAGATTCATTAATTTAATGCATCTCTTTGAGGAGATGCGGATTGGCACATTTGCTGCGCAAGCACAAAATCCTCCCAATGCTTTCCTAAAGGAAAGCATTGGCTTAGATGAGATCATAAAGATTGATAATCTCAGCCATGGAGGTGTGCCTGTAACCAAATGTCACAGTATTATGTGACATACTTAGTCTGCCCCTCTAATGAAGCAGAGGCAGTCTGGCACCTCTGGCCTGCACCATAAGTAGTTGTCTTCTGAACTCCAACCAATCAGTGCGTTGCTGCGGATTACCAGAGGATAGCTCTGACACTGTAAATGCCTGAGCCAATGAGAGTTACTTATAGTCTGCAACCGGTGAAGTGACAGCCCAGATTTCCAGCACACTGGAAAACCAGAGATCTTCATTCACTCCTCACTGCAAGTTAACAGGGAAGGAGGAATTAAGATTTGTTTTTAAATCTTTTTAAAATTTAATAAATCACCTATACTAACCTACACACATATATACACAGGTGCATGACTAGGGAGGATGGAGGGGGGTGGGGCATCGTGAAGACTTTTCGCACAGGGCACATAATGGCCTAAAGCCAGCCCTGTGCTGGCTCACACACACTTAAAATTTTTATTTTAATTGAAACCCACTCAGCCTCCCTTCCTTAGGGGAGTGCTGAGTGGGTCTTTCCCTGGGGTCCAGTGGGGCTGCTCTCTTCCGGTGTGCGAAAGAAGTACTCTGCCTGTAGCTCCTCTCTGAAATGATGCCGCGCCGGCATTACGTCATATCCCGGCTCCCGGCATTAGACAGCGCGAGAGAGCAGAGAGCAGCTGCAGGCCCTAATGCCTTGCACTATATCAGACAGCTGGTCTGAAGGCCATGGTGCACATCAATTTTTTCCGCTCTGAAGAGGATCAGAATTTGGGACAAATGGTTGGGCTCATTCTGAAGTAGACCATTTCCTCTCTAAAGAATACATGGAACCACAGAAAGTGAACCATCTGATTAGGGCACTGAGGATATTCCTTAGCCATTAGAGCTAAAAAAAAAAAAAAAAACAAATTAAAAAAAAAAAATCTTTCAGCTGGCATTTCTCATGATCCTCAAAAAAATAAAAATAAAATAAATAAATCACCTTCCCGCTTCACAATATTACCCAGCTTCTCCAGCAAGAATGGAGCAAAACTGAAGAGGTGTGCAATATCTACATTATATCCAAAGTTAAGAATTCTAGAAAATGCATCAGAGAATCAAACTCTTTCTACATCCAATCAATTCCAGCATCTCATTTACTACTGGCATAGTGAGATTGTCTCAGTGACAAGAGGGTTCCACAAGTTCATGGACCAGTTCCAGCATGAGCCTCTGAATCAGCTCAACTGTCTTTCTTCCAAAAATAAAATTGCATTACAGTAGTGGTTGAATGAATCAATACAAGTTGATGGTTTCCCCAACAAAAGCAGTTGTAGAGGCTGGAGTTCCCATCTGGGGAGCATATTTCTCCAAGGGGAAATAGTTCCATCCGAGACAAGGGACTCCGTTAAATCTTCTGAAGCTACAAGCATTTCTCTTAGCCCCCCCCCCATTTCAATCCTCTTCTGGAAGGTCATTGGGTCCAAGTGAGAGTGGACAGCCCTACATTCGTGACCTACATAAACAAGGACGCACCAACAGAAAGGCTGCTAATATTTCATCTCCTATAATGAAAAAGGGGTCAGAGGCACCATTAGCAGTTTACCAGCTAGATATGTAGAACCAGGTGGATTTAAAAGAGTAATCCTTGAACCCAAAAGATTTGAAATTAATGAAAAACAAAAAACAAAAAAAAAACCCCACACATAGCCACTAAACAGAGGTTGAGACTTAATTTTGAATATTCCCTCCATTTCTCCTGATCTTCCCTTTGTTGAAACTGATTCACAGGGAAGAAGTGCAGGATCAGCAACACTTCCATTTAATGGCATGGAAAAAGCTAAAGGGTTTTCCCTCTTCCTGGTATCTACCTTGCATAAAAACTAAGAATCTGAAGTGTTTTCTGTGAATGGGCAGAGACAGTAGGGGTGTCTGACAATACCTCTGGAGTTTCTACAAAGAGGCCTATGGGCCAGAACCTGAAATCCTTAAAAGTTCAAGTCTCTGTTATGTCTGCTATGACTGGCATCAAATGGGTCTCGAATTAAGATATACCTGTATCCCACTTCCTTACTGCAGTGTTTAAGATCCAGGCGCCAATTATGCCTACTTTGCCTCCTTGAAATTTGCCTTTGGTTCTCAGAGCTTTGGATAGTTCGCTGTTTGAACCTCTGGATTTTAGTTCTCTCTATATCCTTTCTATAAAGTCCACCCTTGTGGTTGCTCTAGCTTTAGAAAGTAGAGTTTCAAAAATTCAATCCTTCAGAGGAAAGCGTGATTATGAAGACTGTTCCCAAATATCTGGCACTATTTGGAATTAATGCTCACATAACTAGATTTAGATAAAGCCCTCCTGACTTTGTTAACACCGTTGCAAATAAGAAGGGACAAGCAGCTTCTAAGGCTACCACCAGCAGATGAATTGTTCGAGCCAACATGGAAGCACACCGAGCATCCGGTTCTCTAACACCTCCACTCTATTAGAGTGATTTCTTGGGCGGCGGCGGCCGAAGTATGAGCAGACCAAATATGTAACACTCCATGGTCTTCGAAAAATACCTTCATAAGATAGATGCCCGTGACAGAGTAAATTATGAATTTGGCTTCAAAGTTCTGCGTTCAGCTTTATCTTAAATTTATGGTGTTTATTTTCTAAAGGTCTTTCTTCTAGCATTTTTTCTTTTTTATTCTCCTTCCCTGGTTGGACTGTTGAGTCCGTACAGTCTAACAGGGCTGCTGTGAACATGCCCATGGAAATGTATCATTACTTTTCCAAAATGTTGTTATTTCTCCTAATAGGCCACAGCAACACTACATCCCTACCATGTGGACAGGCTTTGTATGAAACTGAGGGCGTCTAAGGGAAGAGAGGTTATATACTTTCCTGGCCAATTAGGCGGGGCAGGGATTATCCTATGAATCAGTGCTGCCAAAGACAAGGGCGGGGGGTGAGAAAGAGAGATACAAAATACAGGTTTGTTGTTTTTAAGGGTAGAACTGCATTCTAAAACACAGGAGGCTGCCACTGCAAAACTATTCAACTGGCAGAGACCTTTACAAATAAGCTTAAACCCAACATCGGACAGTGTCACACAAAGACACGTATAGTTTACATGGGTAATCCGTTTATAAAAGTAAAACTAAGCATTACAAAAAATGAAACGTGGGTTCAGATGCAAATTGAGGGCCAACAACCCTAACAAAAAAAAAAAAAAAAGTGTTATGATAAGCAACATTTGCTAAGGAGTTAAGAGGAATTTAAGGTGAATTTCACATTATTCTTATAAAAAAAAAAAAAAAAAAAAACTGTAAAAAGAGTAATCAAGTCAACTATGGTTTTAGTGTGACTGTTTTGTCCTTAAAATTATAAAATCACTCAATTCCATACCATTTCCCTGTCTGCTAGGAGTGGTTTGCACCCAGTCATCTCTGTAATGTTATTCTGATCATGTGAGTTCCAAAGTAGAATCCCATGACTCAGATTATTCAAAATAATAAAAAATAAAGGGAATTTTACATTTTCTCCCCCTGATCACCCCATCACCTGCTCACCCCTTCAGTACCCACCTGCTTCTGGACGTGATTAATCTTAGCCACTCTGCTGACGAACATATCATTGGTTCTCTTGTTATACTCATTCACCGCAAACACCAGAGCCCGCTGGACGTCCGCATCATTCTCGGAAGCCTCTATCGGAGCGCCCACCAGCCTGCTCTGACCGGTGGCCGCCGCCGCAGCAGACACCAGAGCGAGGATCCCGAACACTGCGATCAGCTTAGCCATGACTACTAACGGAAAACACTGCGGGGCACGGCGATAAGCTTCGGAGGAGGCGGGGCGCAAAATGACATCAGAGAAGCTGAGGTCGCCATATTGCTTATGGGCAATGACATTTCTTTATGATGGCGTCTCTATTTACAGAACATGTCGAAACAGTTATACACGTGGTTTAGGAATCAGTGGCAGGTTATATTTCAGATATGAATTCTGTAGACAGCAGCATTGATAAATGAGGATTGTGACAAACATGCCCCCCCCCCCACCCCCCAACAGTGCTCTCCCACCCTATCAGAGGGAATTAAACAAGCAATGCCACCAAGGAAAGGAACCCCATTTGTTTCATTTGTGTTTTTGAGGCTTCACTGGGAGCATAACAAGTGAAAAATACATTGCTAAGTGATAACACTAATTAAAGCAGCAGTGTCACCGATAAGGACCCCCATGGTAACACGGCCCTTGAAGGCCGCAGAGGGTAGTTGGTGCGGTAATTCGCGCTTAATGGTCTCCATCCATGGTGCCACCGTGCTCTCCAGCACATAGCTTTAGATGGGTTCCATGTGATTGGCTGGTCACCTGAAACTCGCAGTCAGTGACCTAACCATTCACTGCAGGACCTATCTAAGGTGAGCTAACAAGAGCTTTTAAGCAGTTTGATGCCTCAACATTGTGGGGCATCACGGTACTCCTCCACTATAACCACAGTATACACTATACTGAACGCTGATAAAATCATGCAATATTGTTTTATTATTTAGGGAAAACCTTTAATAGTACAAACTTTTAATGTTGAATCATATTGTTTCACCTGAGCCAAATCTCTATAACAAGCTAGGAAAGCACAATATGGTAATAAAGGTCACACAGGACAAGTTTGTTTGTCTGCACTCAAGGGAATCCCCAAATATACATAAGGAAGAAATCATAGAAAAAATGCAAATGTTTTATGTATTTTTGGGGATTCCTTATGAGTGTGGATCAACAACCTTGTCCTGTGTGAAGTATCATTTGATTACTGTGAGGATTTCAGCACCAAGAAGGTAACCCTGTTATTGCACTTAGTGAACTGATATAAGTATGATGCAAACAGTATATTCGTGCTTATTTAATTTTGGAGTGCATGGCTACATGTTTTTTTGTGAGTGAGGGATTTTGTTCACTTACTTTTCTGCCTTTTTACTATTATGGTAAAAAAGATATATTTTAAGAACTAGGTGTGGCAAACGTTAGCTAGCCTCCTGCCAAAAAACTATGGGCAATATAAAAAGACCCTGTTCGGGAGTTAAACCTCCCCAGCCGCCATTAGAAACTTGCCCTGGGTGCCCCTGGTTCAGCACTATCCCTTCATGTGAATGGAACCGAACACTAACTCTCTGGCGGTTGTTCTCAGCGGTATTTAGCCTTGAATGTTATGGAACTGTTTTGAGGTGACCATGCGATTTTGAACCACTTTGAAATCCGCCAAGAGAGCGCTTTTTAGAGAGAAGGTGCCTGATACTAAGGGGGAACAAACACTACCAGAGACCCAAGCGGAGCACCCCATATTGTGGCCGCAGGACCTCCCTAAAGTTGACCGGCTACAGCACCAAACACCCTGGAACTGTTTTGGGCATAGGACCACATGTGCGGCCGGTCAGTACTTTCAAATTCATACTTAATGTAAATGTATGCTATGGGGCTACTGTAACTCTATCTACAGCATACTCTACTGTTGTCTGGGCCTCTCTGAGCCCTCTTTACCGTACCTGTTCACTCTGATACAAATTGCTCCTTTGCAGTCCAGATAAGGCAAGGCTTGAAAAATTTGCTTGTAATTTAGCAGCCGGCTAAAAAAAATTAGGAGCTAGGTTTTTTTAAATAAGCTTTATTTTTGATGACATAAATGCAATTCTTAAAGGGACACTAAAGCCACCAGAACCACTACAGCTTAATATCTGTTTTTGTTAAAGGGAAACTATAGTGCCCGGAAAACAATGTTGTTTTCTCACCTTAATTAGTTCTTCTCACCTTACTTACTGTTTCTGGCTGGCTGCTCTGGCTGGTTGGCAGACTGGTGTGGCGAGTTGGCTGGCAGGCCTCTTTATTCCCTTAACCCATTGTGTGTCTCTTTTTCCTCTTCCCCTCTGTGACTCTCCCCCCCCAGCTCTTCTGTGTGTCTGATTGTACCCCCAGCTCCTCTGTGTGTCTCTTTCTTCTGTCAGGCCCTTATTATGTCTCTTCCTTCCTCCAGGCCCTTTGTGGGTCTCTTTTCCTTCCCCCAACCCCTTTGTTTGTCTCTTTTTTTTCCTTCCCCAGCCCCTCAGTACATCTCTTTGTACCCCAGCCCTTCTGGGTGCCTCTTTGTACCCCCAAGCCTTCTCTGTATATTTTTGTGCCCCCCATCCCCTCTTTGTGCCCCCAGCCCTTCTGTGTGCCTTTTCCCTCATCCCCTCCATGTGTCTCATTACCCCCCAGCCTCTACACGTGTCGTATTAATTTCCCCAGCACCTCAATGTGTCTCATTAACCCCCACCAGCCTCTGTGTGTCTAACCCCCCCATCCCAGCACCTGTATGTGTATTATTCACCCCCAACCCCTTTGGGTCTCATTTACCCCTCTCCCCTAGTCCATCCATGTGTCTCACCCCCTCAGTTCCATGTGTCTCATTAAGCCCCACCAGCCCATGTGTGTCTAATTTATTGCCCCCCCAGGCGTCTCATTCATCACTCTCCCTACACCTTGTTGGGGTGGCCGAGCCGCAGGCCGCAGTGGAGGAATTTCGGCTTCCCTACCCAGTCTGACAGGAAGCAGTTTAGTTCTCTCTGATAGCACTTCCTGTCAGACTGGGTAGGGGAACAGTAGCGGTCCTCTACTGCGCTTCTCCTCCTGCCGTTTACCCTACCATATGCCCCAGGACCAGTGTGCCATAGGCAGCTGCTCACCGGCCTGAAGTTATAGTGGGCCAGTCTGGCTCTCACTGCATCTCCCTGATGTGCGCCTCCCCTGTTCACCCCTTAGTACGACACTGGTTGGTCGTAAAAACCAAAAGGCAGAGTATAGAATTTTTGATACAGTCCTAACCTCAACAGCCCAGGAAAGGCATTTCAGATTATTTAAACGGTAGGGAGATAATGTAAAAGAACAGCAGAAAATGCTATCAGAATGCTGGGTTGTAAAGGGTGAGGTATTAGCAGTACAAAGTGGGAAGTGCTCATGCCATTGTAAATAGTACTGGAGACCGTATCTCTAGAAGGATATTGATACTTTGGAGAGAGTTTCGGAAAAGGGCTACTAAGCTGGTTAATGAATTGCAGGGTAAAACTTACCAGGAAAAGTTAAAGGATCTCAACATGTATAGCTTGGAGCAGAGGTGTTCAAATCGCAGTTACCATGCTGGGCAAAGGATCCATTCCAGCCCTCCTAGGGCAAGGTAGGGAGGCTTGGTGGACCTCTTTAGTACTAAATGTGTGTGTATATGATTTTTGTGTATGTTTTGTCAGAGATTGTGTGTGGGGGGGGGGGGTCTGTGAATATGTCTGTGAATGTGTGTGTAAGTTTGTGATTATGTGTGTGGATCTCTGTATTTAAGTGTTTGTTTATATGTATCTGTGTGTATAGGCCTGTGATTATGTGAGTGGGTCTCGAATTTCGCCTACATTGCGCAGAGCGTCCATAGGAAAGCATTGAGAACTGCTTTCCTATGGACACTTTGAATGCGTGCTCGGCGCTTGCCGCGCATGCGCATTCGGCTCCAGTGACGTCAGACGGGGAGGAGAGCCCGGCGCTGGATTAAGGTAAGAGCTCATACAGACATGCGTGGAGCCACGTGACCCAGTGCAAAGACGCCACGCGACCCAGCGATCACATGATACGGAAGTGCTTCAGTCCCGTCAGAGTAAATTATCCAGGACAGCCTCCTACTTGCCGGGACTGTCCTGGCAAAAATTGGACAGTTGGCAAGTATGGGTTAACAGTGAGAGAGTTTAAGCATGCGTAGGATATGCATATCAGGTAAAGCCAGGGACTAATGAAAGTATTCAGAAAATTGAGCAGACTAGATGGGCCAAATGGTTCGTCACATTCTATATTCTATGTTTCTATGTTAAATTAATCACATGGAGACTACTGTACATTAGGAGCACAAGAAAATTGCAAAATGTTATAAATCAATACATGTCATTTAATTCAAACATTATTTTACTTAGTAATTCTGCAATTGATTTAGAAGTACCCCGATCTTCATGTGCAGAACTAATGTCTCACCATGGCCAGAGTAAGACAAGTGCACATTGCAGGCAGGGGCGTACCTAGAGCATTTGGCACCCGGGGCGGATCCTGTGCTTGGCACCCTCTCTCAAAAAAACCTGTAAAAATTTGGGGTTGTCTCTCTTTTTTTTTTTTTTTTTTTTTACAATTTGTAAAGATGTCCCAATAAATACAAAACCCCGCCTTCTACAAAATCCCTGCAGCCCCACACACACATACTTACAGGCAGACAGTCACATTAACACTCAGTTACAGACAGTCACATACACACTCAGTTACAGACAGTCACACTAGTTACAGGCAGACAGTCACATACAGTCATAGGTAGACAGTCACATATACATTATTTTTCCTCCGGTATGCCAGTTTATGGTCAGCCATTTGCTTGTGCGGAGTTGTACCTTCGGCCGCACGCACCCTAACTACCATGGGACACTGTGCGCCACAGCCTCACACAGCCCCCAGCCAGGGCCGGTGCAAGGGATTTTTGCCTTCTTAGGCAAAAGTGGGTAAAAGTTTGGTGCCGCCTCTTTACGTGACATCACAATGCCCCAGCCATATGATTTGCCATGTTAACTAACGCCAGTGCTGCAGTGCCGCCGTGTTTACATTAAAAGGCCTGCAGGGACAGGCTATAGACACCAGAACCACTACATTAAGCTGAAGTGGTTCTGTGGACTATAGTGTTTCTTTAATGTGAGGTAAATTAGAGCTTAGTGCCACGAATAATATACTAAATTGCCTACTTACAACCAGATGAGGATGATGATGGGCTCTAGTTGCAGTCTGGCTCCACTGGTCTGGTGCAGAACAGGCTCTCTGGAGGCGGTTTGTAACTGTGGTCACAA